AGTAATAAGGATAATGAAAACAACAAAATTATAACAACGACAAAAATAAAAAAAAGAAAAGAAAAAAAGGTTATAAAAACACAGACCAAAAAAAATAAAAAAACAGGAAAGGAAGCTAAACGAGAAAATTATAATCAAGTCCATGCGAATAACACAAAGATTAAAAAAAAAGAAAAAAAAAAAAACTCAACATATTATCCTTTGAGAACTCATGAGTCCGTCTCTTTTCCTTCCTTTATGTCAAAAAATATAGAGTCACTTTAAAAGTCTAATTATGACTGAATTCGCCTGGCTGCTCGGGACGCCTGGTCGCGATTCCGTTGTCATGGCAACAGGCTCGGTAAACGGATCGCTTGGAGTTGTATCCGTCATATAGATAGATGGGTAGATAGATAGATATAGAGAGAGAGAAAGATAAGAGGGGAGAGAAAGAAAGAAAGAAAAGAGAGGAGAGAGAGAGAGAGAGAGAGAGAGAGAGAGAGAGAGAGAGAGAGAGAGAGAGAGAGAGAGAGAGAGAGAGAGAGAAAGAGGGAGAGATAGAGAGAAAGAAAAGAGGGGAGAGAGAAAGAGAGAGAGAGAGAGAGAAAGAAAAGAGGGGAGAGAGAAAAAAAATAAAAAATAGAGATGGATAAGAGATAAATAGATAGAGGTAGATAGATAAATCAATAAATATATAGATAGATGGAGAGAGAGAGAAAGAGAGAGAGAGAGAGAGAGAGAGAATATGTAGGTAGATAGATGTAGATATGCTTGTAGATTTTTATGTTAGCCATTCTGCTCTCCTGCCTTTGTGAATGGCAAACTGATTCTTTTTTCAACTGTCTCGTTGCATACACACACCTGCCATGTTGACTAATTGCCCACCTGTAATAATGGACTCTCTCTCACACCCACAATACATACACGCAAACAAACACAAATACAAACACACACGCACGCACACACACACACACACACACACACACACACACACACACACACACACACACACACACACACACACACACACACACACACACACACACACACACACACACACACATACACATACACACCTGTATGCGCGTATGCGTACGTGTTACCTTTATCACAGCCCGGCAGGTTGACAGGTATGCACCCCGGCCGATGAGTTCGACTGAACACGCACAAACTAACGTACCTGAAAGCTACTTCAATTCTTTTATTCGTTCCTAGTTAAAAAAAAAAAAAAAAATGACCCTCAAAAAAAACATCGATATCCAAAACTTTTATTTTATTACTCGTTCCGTTTAATGCATATTCGGTTATGAACGTTTTAGTGCATGAAATTTCTAGGCAGAGAAAATGCGTCACTTTTATCAATCATTCTCCATTCGGGGCTTCGGGCGCGTTCACGTAAATGCGTTTCCGCCGGCGGCCTTTAAGCGCGGGTTAAATTTTCGAATATATGCTTTGTGCGGGGGCGTGTGTGCGTGTAGACTCTATTAAACACACACACACACACACACACACACACACACACACACACACACACACACACACACACACACACATATATATATATATATATATATATATATATATATATATACTCACACACTCATATACATATTTACACACACACACACACATATATATATATATATATATATATATATATATATATGTATATGTATGTATGTATATATGCATACCTACATACTTACACATACGATAACGGAGGTAAGAGCAAAGACAAAAGCCTCCCCCCCCCCCCCCCCCCCGCCGCAGCCCGGCCGCGCGGCCTCCCCGAACGCCGGAAGTGGAGAAGGACATGTCTATTCGTCCGAAAGTCGAGGCGAAGCGTCTCTGAGGAGCAGCGAAGGAGGCGGGAGTCTCGGGAGGAAATCTTCAGGGCTCGAGATCGTCTCGCTTCTCGCTTTTTCTCGCCTTTTCTCATCCTCCTATTTTCTTCATCCTTCTTCTCCTCCTTCTTCTTATTCTTTTCCTCCTCCTCCTCCTCCTCCTCCTCCTCCTCCTCCTCCTCCTCCTCCTCCTCCTCCTCCTCCTCCTCCTCTTCCTCCTTATTCTTCTTCTAATCATCCTCTGTCACCTCTCCATCTTCTACCGTTCATCTTCGCCTTTCTCTCTGCCACCTTTCCTCCTCCTATTCCTTAATTCCCTTTTTCTCGCTTCCACTTTGTCTCGCCTCTTCTTCATCAGTTCTCTCTTCGCTTCACCTCCTCTCTTTCACTCTTTCTCTTCTTTCTTCTCTTCCATCCTTTTATCTCCGTTTTTCTCTTTCACTCTTTATCTGCTCTCCTCTTTTCTTCTTCTTTGCTCTGCTTCGGTTCTCGTCTTTCCTTCTATCACCTATTCTCCCTTTCCTTCTTTCCCTTCACCTCTCTACCTCTCACCCTCCCCCCCCCTTCCCTCCCTTCTCAACCTCTCACCCTCCCTCCCTCCCTCCCCCCTTCCCTCCCTTCTCTACCTCCCCCCCCCTACCTCCCCCACCTTCCCTCCCTCCCTCCCTCTCCCTTCT